CTGCTGAAATGTTGTTCTTCCTCGCCGTGATGAAATTTGTCAAGGGAACTGGATGTATGAATTATTTTTGATTGTCATCGAATAGCACTGACCATGAAGGTGCCTTCGACTAAGGAGGAAGTGGCCAATCAAAGCGCTGCCATTCACTACACAGAGAATGGGGAAAGTTGGGCGATGGTGGTGGGATTCGAACACACATCCCCGCCGGATGATAATTTGGTGGCGTAACCACCGGGCTTCATAAAAGATTGAAATTTCTTCAAAACCCAAAGATTAGGTGATATTTTATATTTCTATTTTCCCTTGAACAAACATGAACAGATAATAAATAATGGGAAACAATGTAGGTTTCATCTATCCTGTTTACTTTGTCACAAACATCCCAATTGATTTTCATACTACTTAGAAGTATATACAACTGACTAAAATTTTATACAGCAGTTTATGTAACTTTTTCACTTTTAGAATCCTCGAGGTGATTCACTGCACGAAGAACATCGCAAATTTCACGTTTAATCTTCGATGCAAGTCAGAAAGAGTTGAAGAAGAACTTCTTAAGTACGGACAATATTGAAAAAGAATTGTGATTGTTTTATATAAGAAAAAACGAGAGGTACGAAAACAGTAAATCATTATGGAACCTTGCTTCATTTAATTCTTCTTACCAGCCGACAGACAGGTTTCGAGGTGTTTCGTGAGCCGCGATCGGATCGCTTTATTCACTATTGTTTATATTGGTCTTTGAATTCGTTTAATTTAACCATCATATATGACGATCGGACACATTAAGCAAACCTGTATCCTTCTCGTTCTCTCTCTCTCTCTGTTCCAAAATAGGGTATATTGAGAAAACCCAGTGCATAAAATTCATTAATGTATATTGTTAATAAAGTTAACAAAACCTGCGTGTCCTGCGGGAATCACTGGTATCTAACTTGATTTTATTAAATGCATTTCGTCTCGAATATTTAACCCGACGTAAATTACCTGTAAATCTGTTTCTATGACCTATAGGATGAGGTGGAGAAATAACGGATATTGCTGAAGACAAATCAACGTGTAGATATCTATCACAATAAATTCGCATGAACTTAACCTGAACATGTCCACAGTTCAATCCTTGCAGTCCGTGAGAAAGTTGAGAAAACAGGGAACTATGTGAAAAGTAAGTTTTGATTGTTCAGTACCCATGTGCACTTCCAACAAGATAGCCAATGAACACTAATGACACAATTTAACTGGTCATAGATTAAAACAACATGAGGCTGACACACGACCCCAGGAAGTAATGCGATGAGTCAAAATAATCGTTGGCCAAACTGACCTAATGCTTTGGATCGACGGAAAACAAATCAACAAACTCTTTTATTCCAGAACAAACGGTCGCGATGAAACCACAGAACCCAGTCAGTTAGGTTGCCATCGAGCTCAAATCGTCTATGATCTGATTCACGTTTCCTTGGCGTGCTTTAATCGCTCTTCGTAATGTTTTCTCGTCCAATTTGAATCCCATCATATAGAGCCTACGGCACAAGTTATCTATGTCGTCTCGACTCAGTTTACCACCTTTAGAGATTGATACGTCCTCCATTGCAGTTACCGGTTCTGACGGCTGGGTCTCGGCAAAACTGTCGCAGTCTTTTGTTTCAGGCAAGACTGGAACTGTTGGATTCACATCACAAGAGGCGGTCGCTGGTGAGTCCACGGTGGGTGTGGGAATGATTTCGCTCGATTTCTGTTTGCTCAGTTTGCTATTTTTATGCTCTCTACGATCCCGTATCAGACTGCGAATATCTTTGTGCGGTTTGCTCAGCTCGTGTGGCTCAACGGAAATTGATTCCTGATGCACAATGCAAAGTCGAGCCATCACCCGTCGAACTCGTTCTTGTTCAAACGTCTCAAAGTCACACAACTCCTTTTTCGTATGAATTGTTCCACGGATATATGCCCGGTCAGCGTCAATTTCAATTCTGGTCGAATTTTCCTCCTCATCAGACCGGTCACCTTTGTCATGTGTTATCGAAGGCGCATCCATGACAGAAGAGAACAGTTCAAGCGCAGTAAACAAATCCAGTTCATCTTTTGGTTCGGCATTCAGACGTACGCAACGTTCTGCTGGAGTTTTCTTTTTACTGAAATGCTCCAACGCATTCCGTAGATCTCCGTCGGTTTCAATTTTGTATGTATCTTTCCCATCTGACAAAAAGAAAAACAAAAATTGATGTGAAAAACAAGTTGTACTTCATGTTGATTAATGACCATGAAATTGTCTGTCATGGTCAATTCCACAATTCCATGCTGATGCTTCATTCAGAAACAGGAACAGAAACAATGATAAAAGTTAGAGATCCATTTGAAACTGCCCACATCGATTATTTCGATGATGTCTTACATCATGACTTGACTGATGGTGGTGATGAAGATGAGAAGGAGGGTCCTTTTACCTAGGTTCTTTCTACTAAATGTGCATAGGTCTTTAAAGATGTTTATCCCAGGTTAACAGTGAGGAGAGTTTGTGAAATGTTGCTGCTCACATCTAACAACACGCATCAGAATGTGCTGAACGGGAATGCTAAAAACCGAAGCTCTGATTTTGCATATTTTTCGTGACCAATTTTATTGGTACATTATTCCCGACAGTCTGATTGAACTGTACAAATAAATAGCGGCGTTGAAAAAGAGTACTTCACTGTGGGTAATAGACTAGTATCAAAACAGAAAGAAGACAAATGTCGCGAGATGTTAACATTTCGTTTAATCTTCTCAATCGCTGACTTAAAACAAACAGGCACATATATAACACTTGGGATTAATGAACTATGGTGAACGAACGTGTGCAAACACACAAAGATTTGTAAATGTAAAAGTCAAAGGTCAACTCCACGGTAAGTGGACTGTTTGTATCGAAAAATTTTGTGCGCATAAGGCCGGGTGACGCAATCGAATAAGCAGTGCTTCACTAATGGCCAGCAGTTTAGCATTGCGATTGCGTAATAGTGGTTTGAAAGAAGAATATGGGTCAACAGTGTGTCTTGTTGTCATGAGGTGTTTTGCAACAGATGATCCCGGATTCCTTGTTATCATTTGGCCATCATTTATCTGTTGCGTCATTGATTTCACCAACCAATTCAGTGTCACGGATATCACCAAAAAATGAAAATGAACAGCTGTTTATCCCCAAAACAATATGTGACCAGACGATCTGCGTTCAAATTGTGTACAGGACAACTAATGTCGAAACATCGTCTACGATATATGTTCAAGGTTATTATGAGCGATTTACCAAAGCCAACGTTTAGCATGCCCCATAATAGTTTTTTTCCGAACGTTTTGGACAACTTTACAAAAAGAAAATAATAATGGTATGCATGATCATTCGCAGATGTTGAAATGTTCATTGTTCCAATGCGTTACTGAGCTGTGATTTGAATAATTCAATTGCACACACAAAATGGGATCAAAGTGAATTCCATACAGCGCACACTCGCACTACAAACGAGTGATGCAGTCAACTTGGATGACTGTTCTGAGTCCGCAATTTCAATAGGTGTCCCTTGAGATGATTATTTTTGAGATGAAGTTAGAAAGTGATAGGTCAAGATTAGGGTCCCCCCCCCTTGAAGTCAACGATGCTGAAATTGGTAAAGCCCCAAAGTTGACAGTCACTTCGGAGTTCGTTTTGTTACGCAGACCTTCTGCCATTTTTCGGCCAACATTTGCGGACATTTTAGAGCCTTCTTTTCGCGGTTCAATGCTGGATTCCATAATTGAACGGTGTATTCCATGTGTGACCGAATGCACGTTTGCTCACAATAAAGTCAACGAAAACGGTCTTTGAAGTGCCGCTGCAACAGGAAAGAAGTTTAAGAGATCTGGAGAAAGGAATAAAGTCTTTCTCCTACAGACCGAGAAAATATACGGGGAACAGTACAACCAATGTGGAAGAATGCATGGAGTCACGTTTAAGGGAACACTGAGCTTTTTAAGCCTGAAAGCGTAGAAAGATAACCTACGAACCCTAAGATAAATACTTTCAGCATGTTTGAACCAAGAAAGATAGTGTGACAAAGTAATTCCAAGATATTTCACAGAGTTAGCTTTCGGGGTTGGTATTACCATTAACAGAAAGTTTAGTCTGATTACTCAAAATGATGATGATGATAATGATGATAATGCATGCCTGTTTTAAGGCTAAAAGAAACATCCAAACATTTATCTACATTCAGCATTAAAGATCGAGAAGTCGACCAACTAATAATGTCATTTAGACAAACTTGAAGTTGACAAAAACAATCAGGAACAGTCGAGGGACAGCCGACCACCACGTCATCAGCATACTTGCAGGCGATGGGATGGGAAGGTCCTTAACATACAATGAAAAAAGAAATGGAGACAAAATTGCACCCTGAAAAACTCCAGAGTTAACTTCTAACAGGGAGGAAGATTTACCGTTACAAAAAGTGTATTGCGTCCGATGAGTGATGTAATTAATAGTACATTCAGCAAATTAGATGCCAGCCCACAATCTGAAAGACGTCGAATGAGAATGCCACGGTCAGGTGATCCGAAAGAATTAGCATAATCAAGTAAAGTTAAACGGACGATGCCAGCCCCTTTATCCAATAAGGATGAAACGGAGTGAACAACGTGAGCAACAGCATCAAGAGTGGAAAGCGAATGTTTGTAAGCATACCGAATAGGGTTACGGGTGACAGATAAAAAGGTCAGCCGGTTAAGGACTCTTTCGAAAACTTTCAATAATGCTGAGCTGCAAGCAATCGGTCGATATTTGGAAAATACTTTTTGGGAATTGGGGTTATCCGAGCAGCTGTTCAACAATCAGAGATGCTTCCAGATAACATAAATTGAACAACTCGGAAATAGTTGAAGCAAGTTGTTCGGTATACTCTTTCAGTAGGAAGGAAACAATGAATCAAGGTCATGTGCCTTGTCAGATTTAAGAGACTTCAGTACATTCAGGACTTCCATAGAGGTGACAGATTGGTTCTTCCCAGTAGATGGTAATAAAGATGGTGTTGAGTTCCGTACAGTAGCGCAGGGAAGGGAGAGCAGTTTACCGGTCAAGAACACTCCACTAGATGAACATAGCAGCGGGGTACCTGGCGCTTACTACTGACAGTGAGAGAAGTCTTCACATTTCACTAGAAAACTACTGCCCGCCCAAACTGGGCAAACCCAGCCAATAAAATGCTTTACCATCGTGTTTCTCCTGTCTCACTGGGTGCATGAGAACAAAAACAATCAACGCAACAGTGAACAAAATACCGAACCGAAGTTCAAAAGCCTTACGTGTCAGGTCTCCAGAAGCTCCCACCCGGGTGCTACGGTCATTCTCCTGTGTTGGATCGGCCGCACCGTTAGCCGTAGGACTCAATAGACGATTGAAGGCAGTCAGTGATGCGATCCAAATATCAAGTGAAACTACAGTGAATTCTAGCGAATGATTGAAGCAAAAGTGACGGATCTCCTCCATCTTGGATTCCTTGCTGGTCGCTTGCAGAATCATTCCTTGTGATGTGTAATTCCCTTAAAGGTCAGCTCATCAAGATAGTGAGAAGTGGTGGGTAGGAAAATGTAGATAGATAGAGTAGCTTACGGCAATCAATAATAGTTGCGATCTTTTTCGTTTAATTCGGAGTACGGGTCGAAGGAACGTAGGTGCAAATTAGGTCATGAAGGAGTCTGATGACACTGATTCATATTCGAAAACACCCCCTTGAAAGTTAGGCAGAGCATTTCAAGGCACAATTCAGATGACCGCCGCTGACACGAAAACCCCTTATACCTGCTTCAACTTGGCAAATACTGTCACATGATATCAGTCCTCCATCTGAAAGGTATAGGGCTTCTGGCCCGGACGGGATGTCCCCATCGGTCTTCACGGATGGTGGTTCAGCGTTGGTTCTGGAGTTAACGAAACTGCTGGGCTCAGTGTAAAAGAGGGAACAGGTTCCAACTGAGTGGTAGAAATCGGTGATTATGCCGATTTACAAGAATAGTGACAGGTTCTCTAGTGAAAACTACAGAGGAGTTAGTTTAATCAATGTTGCCTCTAAACTTCTCGCCGGTATCATACACTGTCGATTGTCTGCCGCACGTGAAAAGCGCACGCATGAGAACCAGATCGGTTTTAGACCTGATCACGTTTGTATTAACCATATCTTCAGTATTCACCAACTTCTAGAACACGGATATTCTTTTCCCAGACCCATCATTTCTACCTTCCTCGATCTGAAAGCGGCTTTCAACTCAGTAGACCACTCTAAACTTCGATGCTGTCTCACTCTGAAGGGTGTGTCCGAGAAGTTAACTTCAATTTTGAGATCTCTGGATGATAACGGCCGAAGCAGAGTCCGAGATTACGGCACCTCCTTCACCCGAATTCACTACAGAAAGTGGTGTTCGCCAGGTCTGCCCTCCGTCTCCGTTTCTATTAAGCTCTTCCATGGATTTGATTCCTGAAACAGGTATGACCTAGTGCGGGTTTAGTGGAATCGGTTTACTCCCAGGTGGAAGACTGTGTGATCTGGAGTATGCACGCGACATTTTGAAGATCCAGATAAACTGCCAGCTTTTCTGGATAGATTGAGTGTCAGTGTATCTTTTTTCTGGGTATGCGGTTCGCATCTTCAAAGGGTAAAATGGTGCTACAATATTGCGTTGATCCAGAATCCAGCCTCACTCTGACTGGAGAATTCTTAGAGGAGGTGAGCAAGTTTCGTTATTTGGGCAGCTAGATTGTACCCGTTGGACGCATCATGGATGAAGTTTCAACTCACATACAGCAGGCTCGAATGGAATTTGCTAACTTGAGGCACCTCTGGCACCGTCACGACATCCGGTTGATCGTAAAGGGTTAAGTGCAGCGGTTCGGCTAGTTCTGCTATGCGACGCAGATAATTGGCCATCACGGGGGCTGCACAAAAGTAGATTTTGAGTGACCGAACACTGCTGTCTACGTCGCATGGCACGAGTCTGGTGGAGAAGCCGGACAGGCAATGCTGAGGTTAGGAAAACATTTTCGGGTAATCGCGACTGTCCACTGGGGTAAGTGATCGACCACTATAGATTAAGTTGGTTGGGACATGTGGTGCACATGTAACCAGATAGGTTGCCACAGAGAGAGATGTTTGCCGAGGGAGGTATCTGGTGGAAACGTTCAAGGGCCGTCTAACTAAAACCTTCGATGAGGATACAAAAACCATAACCAGAAGAATCGGTCACATAGTTCCTGTCAGGTTCCCTGGACGGGGATCCCGAGATCAAGGTAACCGGTAGTTAGACACACTGAGTGATATGACTGGGTTTCTTAAACAGTGGTGCTTGTTCATCTACTCATTATTCCTGCAACCCCAGTAGATACGAATTCCCTATCTTCCTTTTTTGCAACTTTCCAATCATCATTCTGCTCTTCTATCCAAATTGGTCGCCAAAATACAGCGACCGAAACCGGCTCAGTGCATGGTTAATGGTTGTAGAATTTGAAACAGAAAACGACAGTATTCACCTCCCGGTCCTGTTGTAGAACCATGTTGATAACATCTGTGTACACAGTTTAGTTGAGAGTGTATATTGGCGTAAACTCTGTACTGATCCAAACAATAGGTACAAGTTGTGATAGATCTCGCGCGCTTTACCGCCAATCATTCATGGGCGATATGAATTGAATAAAGGTAAACACATCCATTGGAATAAAATTAATCCCAAACCTGGTAATGATAAGTGATGACGATTCAGTGGGAGCCGTAGATCAGTGATCCCAAAGAAGGCTAAGGTGAAACAACCTACTACATCTGCCAGGTGAGAAATCAAGTCGATGCATTCAGGTGAAATCCTTCACAGGAGATTCTTCATCACAAAGACAAAACAAAAAATACTTTTGTGACTGTTTCTCCCAAATGGGACAAATATTGTTAAAATTATTCCATTGACAAAGGAATTCATGCGGGGCATAGCACAAGAGTGACGAGGAATGAATTTTGTATTGTTAATCTATCCAAGAAAACACTTGTCCGGTGTTATATAAGAACTTTTATGTAGAATCGCAGTGCAGACCATAGAAATTATTTTAAAAAAGGCAGGAGGTTCGTCAATCAGACTGGACTCACGAGGTCAAGAGCAACTGAGAATTGTCCTAACGCAGCGACCTCAAAGAATAAATGCAATCTAGCTGCCGTTGAACGATATCTTCAAATTTGTGCATGTAATGAAGAGACATTTTGGCCAAAGCCGAATAGCTTACTGGAAGCAACACACGAAATACAATAGTAAACTACATTTACCTCAAAAGAATCAGTGTTGCCAAGAGATGAGTTGCATGCGCTTTCACATTATGACCCACTATATTCCGCCCGTACACAAACGTGTTAGAGACTCAGGACTGTTACGATGGGAGTTGCACCCTCTGATACTGCCTAAAATGGTTGAGAATTTTAAAGGCAACAGTTTTACAGACTTTGGGGAGTAAATGACATGATTGATCTAGTTGGTAACTAGGAGAAGTACGGTGACTAAATATAGGGTTTTCTACCTCAACATACTGCTAATAATCGTTAAAAAAGGTCAGACAATCTCACGCAGCAACAGAGTAAGGTTACAGAAAGGTACGAAGATATGTGGTGAAATATTGACATAGAATTGATGCGGAATATTTCATAACTTTGGATTTAAAAATAAACTCTTCCCGGTAAACAAGATGTGCTCGAAGAGTGAGTAAATGTACCAGCTTCACTATTCGTGATACAATAGTACTACTCCGAGTTCCTGACCACTGATGAGGTGGATCACGAGGTTCCGAGCTAGAAGGCCCCATGGGATGTCTTTTGCGAATTTATTTGGGTAACGTTTGTGCAGTCTCATGGTCTGATCACCCTTGATTGTTTCCATTACAAAGGCGTAAACTATGGGATATAGTACAGAACATGTCTTACCGGTGAAAGGAATTATTGATGTGTCGTGTAATCAATTGAGCTACTTGAAGCCAGAGCTAAAAGGAAACACGAATAACTGATGTTTTCCAGAACGGTGGACAGAATGTGGTAATACCAATCTGTAATTGTGATTACTTATGACAAAACTCGCCTAGTTATTTTCCTTTAATTGTACTAATCAGTGAGTCGTATTTATTTATTTCAAATAGAATTCAATAGCCAGGTGTGTGCGACAGACGTTTATTTGGAATTCTGAACAACAGTTTAAAATTAGTACGTTTCAGGGAGATAAGTGAATCGCTTAATATGAGTATATCCTCCACACAGAACAATTAACTATCATTCATAGAAATCATAGAATCACTCATGTTCAAATATATGAATAAATCACTTGTACTCGTTCTTTCTGTTTACATTTGGTTTTCGTAAACAGAAGCACATTTTCATCTTACCGTTCCAGGTGATATTGTATCCCGTAGTTGGTGTGTCAATTATTTCACGTAGACGCTTAATCAATAAATCCACGGTGATCTGATCGTNGTCAACTCGTTAAACGAAGCACTGTCTATGCTTTGTCTCGCTTTGTCTTGGATGCACAGGCATGATGACGAATAGAATTGGGTTAGCACGGAATTAGCACAGAAATTAACTTGAGATTGATTTATTCACGGGGTCTCACGTGTTTGTGGTGCGCAGGTGGCACTTTCTGTATCTGCATCTTACGCAATAAGGCAGTGGTCAAATCACGTGATAGCTGAATGTGGAACACAGTGAAAATTGTAACGCATCCAATCAGAGATATGCTAAATGCGAAGATCAGAGAATAGATCCAAAATTTATAAATATCAATACGATTAATAAAATCATCGTGACATGTCTGTCTTCTTTCAACAGTAATTTATATTGAGATATCGTGAATAATTAATTGATTGATGATTGTCTATGACGTAATCAGATTTTTGAACTATTCAAACAAAATAGTGAACGAACAATAGCAAATGGCAAAATGGGATAAAATTAGAGTCTGATTGCATTCAATTAGTCACTAACTGGTGATCAACATATATATCATTTTCACATCTACAAACTGTTTGAGAACAAGCAGTAACAAAGAACCCATGGGTAAAACTGTTCGATTCAGGTTGACTGAAAGTCAATTTCTGGAGTGCTCGGATTGCAGACACAGAGAATAGTGAGACTGAAGAGCGCATGAGTTACACACTGTTAAGAACTAGTGATGTAGTCCATGTTGCCACGATGAACTCATCATTTCCAACAGATGATAGTATAAACCACTCTAGGTTTGTTTGATTAAGATACCATCTTTTACCTCAAGGCAGGAATATCGATTCTTAACTTTTGAACAACTTACAATTTTGGAGTGTCAGATCCGAACGACGTTCGGAGTGTATCGAAAAATTCGATGCGATTTTTACAATCCATTGTAAAATTCGTCTCGATAAAGTTCACCCACGGTAACCGAAAAGTCGGCTTATTTTCATTGGTACCAACATCATTGTGTTTTCAAAATTACAACTTATGTTAAACATACAATTTTAGTAAAGAAGTTCAGAAAAGCTTGTAAACAACGCAACGTTTTGGAACAGAACTTATGCATTGTTCAACGTTTTGGCCACCTCGGGTGGCTTTCTTCAGGTGTATGCAAACTGGTATGTATTCAGAATCAGTATGACAAGGGAGCATCATTGTAAACAAGTAGCCCGTTGGAATCCTTCTTATAAAATGATAAAAACGCACAAAATTAACTTTCCTAGAGACCAATACAAAATTTTAATATTGTCTTAACTCTAGTTTTTTTCATTTTCAACTCAAAACTGCCATACAAGCAAACAGACGGAGTAGCTATGGGTTTCCCCATCGCTCCTATCCTAGCCGATGCTACCTAGCACATCTCGAAACAGAATCTATCGGCAATTTTGTCCGTCCCCCATGCATTCGCTCTAGCTATGTAAACGACACGAATGGTTACTGTGAAACGCGCATTCTGCTTGCGATTCTTGCATCACCCTAGAAACCGAATCAGAAGATCGTTTTCTCAGTTTTTTGACTCCATTATGAACGAGTGAGCGAGCATACCAACTTCGATGTTACCATGTTTCGCAAACAGACAGACTCCAGCAGATAGTTAAACTATAAGTGTTGACAAAGTATGAAAAATTTGTTCTTGTAGCTCGAGTGAACTGAATTTTCATGTTCGCATGTTCACCGAGCTTGACAAATTATTTGTAAACGTTTCATCATCAGCCGAGGTGATAGCATCAGTGCTTGTGATGTAGCTTTAGCTGTTTCAGTGCGGGAGACGATCGGCCTCAGGTGATTTTCTTCTTTGTGTACCTTTAACAGTTCGCAGAATTGTGCAACAATGGAGTTTTTGAATCTCATATTACAGTGCTTCTCTTTGGTTATTTGATGCAGTTCTCCCAGCATTTTCAATATGGTATTGATTTTATTTTCCAGTTTTGCAGTGGGTTCCGTGTCGATTCTGCGGTTGTCTTTTGTGTCTTGAGCTAGTTCTTTTAACTTTCAGAATGTTGTACTTTATGGCCCTAACCACAGTAATCAGTCCTTTATCTGCTGGGAGGCTGAGGATATCTTCCATATTTGTCGGGAGAAGCCTAACCTTATTCTGAAAATTTCCATGGTATGAATCAGAAATGGATTGGGATCAGTCGCGACCGTGTGAACGTTTCGGCATTTTCTCCATGGTACTGGATACGTGGGTGTCAGATTAAAATTATAGAGCACGGTGACCTGATTTCTGGCAACTCCTCCATCACCTGTGACGTAACCCCCATTGCGGACAAATATCTAGACAGTGAACAACTCCACAAATACCGTCACGTTTTCTTGTTTACTCGATCACGTTTTGGTTGGCGATACCAATAAAGGCTCGCACTGTTTTCCACCTGTATTTTTACTGCAATCCTGGGGATACGCATCGTAAGACCAGATTCTGTGATAGTTTGACAAGACACAATGGTGCTTTAAGTGCTTGATCCTTGCGGTTTGATAGCATGTTGGGTCTTCCATATTCGTATTTGAGTCGGGACGATTGTTTGTCGGATGTTCTGTTTTGAGTCCTCAGGTATCGTGAACGATTTGAGAGTGCTCCAGTTCCGCCAATTATTCCTTGTTTGTGTCATTTATAACGTTGTCATTAGGTCCTTTATAGAGGATTTGTTTTTCATGCTGTGTGATCGCACGCTTGGAGAGATTTTGGACCCAGTTTTCATTTTCTTTGATTAGCAAATTTGTGGAGTTTTCTTGAGAATGCCAGTCTTCTCTTTCTTTGACATTTTTGACACGTCAGCTTATTACTTCTTTCAGTTGTTCTGTCTGTCGTTTGCGCGATATAATTCTGCGATTCTCCTGTTCCTCTTGTGTAACCTCCTTGTACTTGGTAAGATGTCTGTAAGCATCCGAGCTCATCATGCGCATCAGGCGTCTTTCAAATTGTCGTGAAATCCTCCAAGCCTTGGGGTACGATTGATCGGTGGTCTATAGTATGCACTCCGTGGAAGTACGATACACCAAAGGCATTCGTGAAGGAAAACTAGCTGCTTATCAGTGGAGACTACTCAACACAAGAAAGTGTCCCATCGATGAGATGCCTTTAGCTTTTCACGCCATTAAGCCGCTGATAAAATACTGAAAATTGGTTCTTGGAACACTAACTTCTATGCGGCAGGAGTGACATACTTCGAGCAAACCTGTACGCAACATAACTAGACGCGTCAGGTACCGGGAATGATCATCGGAGGCTATCTGGATAGCACTAGTCCAAGATTGCATCCGCACAGCCTTTAAACCTGATAATAATTTCTATCGATATCTGGTGCATCAAAAAGGTTCAATATCCTCACACGATGTTACAGATTGTGTATATGAAACTATAGGAGAAACATGTATACAGTTAAATTGTCGATGAGATGAACACAAAAGATACACACAAAATCCCCCAATAATGGTATTCAGTTAGAGAAACTGGAAAAGATTTTAGCCATTACCCTACAGGCGTTATTAGGAGGACATAATATGACAAGTCGACGAAGCGCGAGTGATCTATTCCGATTTGTCTATCCGTGCAGAACGCCATTGCGTGGAGTTACTCTCAATCCTGCTCTTTATAAATCTGGTCATGTGAATCGGAACGATAATTCAAAGATTGTCAAGCATATGGTTAAGTCTACTAAATGTACCCAAAGGCAAATGTATGCTTAGTGATCCTAGACGCGCTTACATTTACACAACACGCCCATCCGCACGCACGCACACACACACACACACACACACACATATGCATACGTTGTTATAACGTAGAAGATATAGGTGATAAACTTTATCTGGTATCAGAATGTTGTATACTGAACTGAACATCATTTTTGTGGTCATGAAAGAGGGTCACAGATGTACACTCAAACATGAGTGTTTGTATTACTACAAGAATGTGTTTTATAATAAGGACAAGGATAGAATGTATGTCCGGGAATGTTTGTCACGTGATTCGTTTTAACCGGTCAATGACTAGATTCATGTCACCATAACATTCACGCAACACGGCTTTCAATACGGCATCGTCGTGCACATAACCCATTGAGCTCAACAATTGCAGTTTTGGCTCGACATAGCTTGGCTGAGCATCCATTTGTGACGCTAAGGACAATAAAGTTGGCCGATTTCCCGGTTCTGGACTGGTAATCATTTCAGAACTGGGTCGAAATTTGTGTGTCTGACTCCGTGTAGCTTCAACCTGTACCGCATTCACTTCTCCCAGTCTGTGCAATGCTGGACAATCGGTTGCAGCTTTGTTTATACCGGGATCCGATAGGGTTGTGTTAGTCTGTGGCTTGTTGATATTTGTACTGGAAACGATGGGAGTGGCAGTATTGTTCACAGTGGTGGAACTATGCGGAACGTTTGGACTGCTTCTCTGTTTTTCCATGATCTCAGGCTCATCCAACCGAATTCGAACATGCTTTTTTTCTTTTTTATTACTTTTGTTCTTGGGTTTCAAACAACTCTCGTCAACAATGCAGTTGGCATCACCCTGGTTTACAGTGACGTGCAGGCGTATTGTGCTGTTCGACTCGGTTAATTGATTCNNATTCTCTTCCGCGTCCAATAATTCATCAGCGTCATTCACCGAACAATAGTCGTCCCCATCTGGAATAGAAAAACAATACATAGATGTTAAACATCATTGGAATCACGAATTTGCAAACCGAAAAATCAGTTACTTATGTACCAGTTCGAAATGTAAACGAAACGCAGACATTTTGGCCAACATGTGACTCTCACACCTCCACCAAGTTCATTGTTTCATCATACACAGGAATCGGAAAATGATACTTGATTGGCAGCCATAATTTCATTGATGTAAATTCTATAACATGGACAAAATAAGTCAAAATTGAAGGATAAACTGTAATTTTCATTCAAAAATCTCAATTTGGGGGAATATATGTGTACAAATAATGAGCCAAACTTGAAGATTTTAAGGAAAACTGAAACATGAAATATCATAAAGACTCACCAAACCACTGAATCAAAAAGTTTCCAGCTGCATTGGGAAAAATAGTTCTCAGTTTTGCGTGAATTTCATCTAACGTTACAGTGCGGATTACATTCCAACGAAAAACTTCCTGTTTCGCATCCGTACGATCGGATTTCACATGGAACTTATACAGAGGCATGGTAAATTGTCAGCCGTTTACAAGTGACAAATGTGAACACGTTCACATCTGCTTTTGCTCTCAATTATTATTTAATATTATTGATTTTTCTCACACACACACACACACACACGAACACACACACAGACACACGAATGGCGTTGACAATGCTCGATTTAGATGTCGTGGGAGGGTTAAGTCACTCCGATAGCGCCATCGTAGCGGTTTTATTCGATAGTAGTGTTACACATAATTCACACCCACGTATTCCACCTGAATGGGTTCATGAGCGTATAACGAAACTGAAAGTCAACCAAACCCCCTCGCTTCCCCGAGAAATTCGATACACTTTTGCTTCTGATCAATCACGTGACAGACTGAAAGGTGGAAGCCATTTTCGTTTTGTGCTCACAACCCGCTTTTGCACGCGTTCATCCAGATATCTTCACTGTTTGGTGGTTTAAAAAGCATGAACAACAACAACAACAACAACAACTGATAAGCTGCAATTGATGACTCTCTGACAAAAGCACTCCGCTTTCCAGCATACTCTCGGGGCTCACATGACGAAACCGATTTCTGTACACTACACTACACACACACACAACGGGTTTCAATCTGACAAGTTTTATCAAAATTAAGATCAGCCTCGCAAATTTTCAGAAGCTAAATTCACAAAACGTATAGTTGCATTTATTCAGCTCTAAACACGTGGAATTTCCGTTCACTGTAGGTTGATAATGCGTAAAACCTTTTACAAAGCGAAATAAAATTTTGTTCATGACAAAATTATTAACCTCACAGCACGATTTGTGTTCTATCTCCGCACCCAAATGCACATAAATCACCAATTTTGAGAACCTAGATAGACGAAAATNGAATGAAAAGTCACAATACGAAGTCTAGACACACAAATCAGGAATTAGGAGCATCTTTGGTTACAGGTCTAATCGAAACTGAAACAGGTTCGTATACGTTACAGTATTATTACTAGAGTTATTTTTTCCAAATAATAACAATAATAATAATAATAATTAATAAGCCTTGGTGAGTCTTTATAGCCTTGATTTTCCTGATTCGTTTATACGCATCAGATGAAATGGTTCAGAATGTAGTGGATACTCCCATTTCGTCAGTAGTGGTTGATCTAGACCATGATAAGTTACTACGTAACTAAAGAGAATGG